TGGGGGCACTGGGGGCACTGGGGGGACTGGTGAGAGTAGTGGGATTGGTGGGACTCCTGGGGCATCCACAGCTTCTCAGGGCAGCTTGTGCCAGTGAGTCACCACCAGTAAAGAATTTCTTACACATATCTAATCCAAACCTACTTTTCAGTTTGAAGACAATCCCATTAGTCCTGTCACATGCCCTTGTCAAAAGGCTCTTTCCATCTTTCTTGTAGGTTCTTTTCAGGTACTGGAAGGTGCTATAACATCAAACTAGAGCTCTGTTCTCCAGGCTAAGCAAATCAAATTGTCTCATCTTTCCCTGGAAGGAGAGGTGCTCCAGTCCTCTAATCACAGAATCATAGAATATTTTGAGTTGGAATGGACCCACACGGATAATTAAGTCCAGCTCTTATGTGAGTGGTCCATGCAAGTTTTAGCACCATGCTCCAAACAGCTGAGCTGATTTCATTTTGGCTTTGACAGGTTCATGTCCTTCCTGTGCTGGGGACCCTAGAGGTGGGTGCAGCACTCCAGGTGGGGTCTCACCAGAGCAGAGCAGAGGGGCAGAATCCCCTCTCTTGCCCTGCTGGCCACACTACTTTGGATGCAGCTTTGGATGCAGTTGGCTTTAGGGGCTACAAGCACCCATGCCAGAGAGATATGCAATAAAATGGAAAGCAAGGATTTTGCAGAGCCAAAATGATCACTTTTACCTCTCTAGAACAGTATCAATTTTACAGAGAATTTTTATGGATAAAAGAGGAGATCCATCCTCTGGAATTTGGAAAGATGTTCACATCAGTTTGCTGGCAACAGTCAGAAGATGAAAGCAGGTTTATTCTTTGCAAAACAAAAAGCAAGCACAAAATTTGCAGGAGAGGGGAAAAAAATGCTTACTTTTGGCTGGTGGCTGACAAACTCTTGCTGACTTCACAGAATATCTAAAATTGTAACTGCAGAGGAAGTTTTCTATCTGAGTGTTTATAACAGTAGGACCCAAAATTTCATGTTGCCGAAGTTCCTAAAGCTGCAGTGTCTGTGGTGTAATCAAAAACCAGGCCAGGTGAAAATCTGAGTTGGTGTTGCCCTACAAATGTTCTTGACATGGGGTAAGAAAGATTGAACCCCAAAGAGAAAGGCAAACAAGGACTGCCAGAACACCCTGACTTTCACACCTTCATTCAAAGACTCTTCAAGCTAGGGTCTTCCCTAAAGTGCCAAGGTTTTTAGCATGACAAAAGGCAGTCAGTCATCACTGGGATAGCATCTCTGTAGAACAATCAGCACTGAAACAAGATGCAGCAAGGATTGCACTAGGATATGTAAATTTGGCTTATTTTCCCTGTTGTTTCTAAAATCTTTCTCCAATTCTAAAATCCTTCTCAATTACAAGCATCCAAACTCTGGTTTCACTGCCACCATTATTTCATCAGTGGAATACAAATGCCATAAACCCTTCCAGGCCCCAAAGAGAATAATCCCACTCATGAGAAATTCAAAGGGGATAAGTAAACACCAAAACAGATTGTCTCAACAAGCACCAATGTGGCAATTTCAGTGCAGTGGTGCCCTTTTTTTAATCCCATGCCATTTGCTTGAAGGTTTGATTCACAACATGAAGAACCATTGCAACTATGCTGTCACACTGTATAGAGCTGAGAAACCTGGCTTCTCCCAGCACTAATGAAGTGTATTTGTAAATATATATGTGGACATTTTTTCCTTTCCTTAGCAGTTGATAGACTTTTGACATGCTATTATAGGAGACTGTTATCATCAAAATGACAAGATCCTGGTTCAACCTTATGGCACCATGGCCAAAGTCCAAAATTGGATTTCCTTTAATATACCGGTGAGTAGAGTGCAGGAAACCCTGGTAATTCCTTGGCCTGAAACACCATCATTGCTGCTTATGGAGATTTAAATGATTGTTTAGGGGTAAGAACAAGCTGTCAGAGAGTCAAAGAGAGCTGAGTGCCCACAATGGCTGTTAGCTCATGAAAGAATCAGTCCCCAAGTCCCAGGTGCCTATCTCTAGCTCTCTCAAAAGCACCATGCCTCTTCCAACACACGGCTCTGCAGTTGCTTCTGCAAAGGAACATTATTTTCTTTCCAGCAGGCATGGGATCACCTTGGTTTAACAGCTTTACTCCATCCTCTGATTTTGCTGTTCTAGCTGGTCACAATATTTTTAGTATCAAAAAAGACTCTTAGGAAGATGGATAATATTGATGAATTATTTTTTCGTCACTTTGTAAGGAAAATTTTAGTGCTTTTTTTATCTATAAATGGGGAGAAGATGTACCAAAAGTATATTCTGTTATTTGAATGAAAACAAATGTGTTGACATTCTTTCTGCTCTAAAGATTAACTAGTCTCAGGCCCAAAAGAGATGCATATTATTTCAAATGAGTCACAGATTAGAGAAACCAGGGTTACTAACACAGGCTACAACAATAATTTTTTAACTGGGGGATCAAAGGTTGGCTTACGTAGTTCACGACCATATGTATTGAGAATCAATTGAAAGGCCATATATAAAGCAGGAAATAATGGGGTATTAATTCTCCACTGAAAAAGAAGTATTTATTTGTATCTCAATTATTTGGTTACTGAGTAATTTGATTGATTGCACCTTTCTTCTGCTTTGTGCAAACTTGAAAATTTGACAAGCCTTTTAAACATTACACACTTCTCCATGATTTATTAAATTTCAGTTTGGAAATTAACTTTAGAGAACTCAAGATGTAACATGCAATCCTCCCCATTCTGTGCTGGGTCACTCAGTGGTTACACAAGGGCAACAACAGTATCAACTGCTGTTTGCAGCAGCACATTGAAATGCTTGTCATCACAGGCCAGCTTTTATCCAGCTTCAGAAACCTAACAGGAGGTGACTGAGTATCAAAAATGATGGGGCAGATGCAACAATGGTTATCCTGATCCACCAGACAAATAATTTTGGTAATTTGATGGTTATTTGGTACACTTGTTGAACTTAATGGCATTTGTGTCTCACGTGGAAGTTAGTTGTGGCTGTCAGTTACTTCAAGGCTGCAGGGGTTTTAGAAATTAATGGGCTTTTAAAGGGGAGGTCTGTCACATCCTGGCCATGGACACATGCATAATTTATACCCTGGCAGAACCAGTATTTAGCTATGTAAAATAATAGTGAATTTTTTCACAGGTTTTATTTTGACAAAAAAAGTTCAGTTAAACAGATGCAAAATTTCCATAGATTTAGATGCTACCAGAATGCTGTCACAGGCAACTTGTTTGTTTTATATGACAGAATAATTGGTCATTGGTCTTTTACATCTCCTGAAAAAAATCTGTTGACATTTTCATACAAAAGCTCAGGTAGTGAAATTCAATTTATTTGCCAGCAGTGCAATGTAATTTATTTGCTACAAGCTCCTGCTTGTGCCTCCCCCTTCACCACAGTGAAGTGTCTTCACCAGCTCTGCCAGGGTGCTGTTCCTGTGTACAGCATGCTGCTGCTCCCTCTGGGGTGCTGGCTGCTCCTACACCTCCATGCCTGCTGCAGAGGGGATGGAGCAGGACTGCACTCCTTCCTTCCAGCTGCCAGCCGCAAGGGTGGGCAAACGAGTGTGTCATTTCCAGGACATCCAACAGGATGGAGGCTTTTGCAATCTTCCAGCTCCCATGTAACAGGTAGATTCTTTGAGGTTTGTTGTGAGGTTCATCTAGCTTCTCCATCACTAAACTTACTCTGAAGTCCCTTGGGATTTGAGAGAGGTCTATGCATAGGAAACTCCTCAGCCAGTTGCCTAGGAAGTTGTGCCAGATCTCAGAGCTGTACAGCTCCCCTTCAGGTGACATGCTGTCAATAATGACCCCAAAGGTGTCTCTAACTCCTACATGAACTATCAGTTATACCTGCAACATATATCCTATGAGGGGTGTACCCAAGTTATATCCCATGAGAAAGTCTGATACCATCTTAAAAAGAGGTAAAGATGCCCAAGGCTGCCTGATTCCAAATATTATAGTGACTTTTCTGACCAACTTAGTAGCAGGGAATTATTGATGTGTGCAATACCACCTCCAAACTGGAGTAACACTGGCATGATCATATTTGTCTATAGGGAAAACTTTCTACACAGGAAACTGAATTCATGAATGTAACTTCTATGATTGCCCAGAGTGAGTACAGATAACTGCCATTATAACTTCTACACCTTCCATACTGGCTTGATTTTTTCCCATTTCTTCAGCAATCTTATTTTAATCTGCACAAAACCACGGTGCTTGAAGAGGAAAAAGATCACTTGCTTCTGACACAGAATTTTTGCTGTGTGAAAATAGCATGACTTTGAAGGAAGAGAATAATTTAAAAAAGGACCTAGGACTAAAATAAATATACAAAAGTGAATCTTTATGGATCAGAAGCTTAATGAAAACTCTGCTGCCTTGAAAACCTGAGAAAAAGTCCTACATAATAATCTGTAATTATCTTGTATCTTGAACTCATTTTTTAAAGTGCCATTTTAATTGGGTTGAGTAGCACATTTGGCTGTTTTTGTTAAGCTTGATGTAACAGCTCTTTTGCTCAAAGGAGACCACTTCTGAAGAATAAAAATGAAACAGCAGAAATCAAACACTCCTGTCACATGGAGGGGGAAATCCCCTTTTACTTAAGAGAAATGCCGCACCCACAATAATAATCATGTGACTAAAGTTAACTAATATCTTTTCAAATGGGGAATATGGCTTCACCTGATGCAATGACAGCCGGAAGCAGTTTTATTTTTAAGTAAATTGAAAACCTTATTATTGTTAGCCTACCAAAAGTATCAATCTTTCATTTCTGATTGAAAAACAATGAAAAAAATAATAGGCCTATGGAAATGCACTTACAAGGTTTTTCATTTCAGAAAGATAAGAGCATTGTGAAAATACAGCTTGCTAAGTGCTCTGTCTAATCTGGTATCTAATTTCATAGAGTAGCAACGATCAGAAGCCTGAAAAGAATATTCAACACCTCAGGGTAGATTTAATCCCAAAACCAATTAAAGGCTGATTTCTATCTGCATTGCAACATCTGAAACTTCTTGATGGTGGGTAACTCAACTGCTGTAATACCAGGGCTAGGAACGCCCAGCAGAGCACAGCACTGCTTAGCTATCCACCTGCCAGGGCCCCAAGTCAGCTCATCTTCAGCACACTGCTGAAGCTGAGCTCTAAGGAAGCATGTACCAGAGCTGCTTACTCAAAGATCTGTGCTACCTTTCCTGATCTCCCCATGTGTCCCTTCACCTCCTCTCAGTATGGTCTTTCTGCTGAAAGTGAACCAGCACCACCATCCCACTGAGATCCACTGCTGTGTCACTTCACATCCACAGGGATACTGGTTCAAAAATTGAACATTGCTTAAGATGGAGGAATGTGATGTTGAATATGTATCTGGGTGTCAGAAGTATAGTGGAACAGCCTGCTTTTAGAATCTCTATATAATGATTTCTACAGCTTGGTACTGCAGAGGACAGGTCACTACATGCAGTATTGTTAATATGTATAAAGCAAATCCAAGCAGATGCTTACTGAGTTGTACTCTTGCTGGAATATCTTCTCATTGCAAAAGCCACCATTGCTTTGAAGAGGTACTCTTCATTAGCATCCCAGGCATACTGTAAAGGAAGATGGAAAATAATTAGTTTCAGCACCAGTGCTGGTAGTACAGAGAGGGTAAAGAGTCACTGAACTTGAAATGCTGTATTGATCAAGAAAATTAATAAATTCTCTGGTGGTGCTAAGAAAATAAATGCTCATTATTTAGTATGGACAAAGGACTTTGTCTAATAGGAAAAAAAAAGTGCAATATGAACTGTAATATAAGTAATATAAACTGCCAAGAATATTCCAAAAACTGAATTCATTCAGTATTTCTGCAAGCTGACCAAACTGGAGATGTTAAGTTTATTATACAAAAGACTAGGCATATTACTAGAATTCTCCCCACACAGCTGTACTCATGGCCTTGCCTCTTTTGCTGGAGAAACTCAGTTAAAGCAGATGGTTTAAATCCACCCTCAAAGAACATTTGGATCTGACCAAAAATAATAATAAAAAACTGCCTAATGTTGGTGGTGGTCTCTGAGAGTTGGACATTAGGACACCAGGAAATAACTGCAATCGCAGCCTTATTGCCCCACATTGTCCTGATTGCAAGAAGACTCAACTGTATAACAAATTATTATACTTCATGTGAGATAAAAGAAAGAAAATAGCATCCTTACTACTTCAATAACAAGAAGAATGTAGGCTTCAAAACCTGTTGTCTGTTCTCTGTTGTCTTGATGAAAAATCATGCTTTCATAATTTAAGTTTTCTGAGACAGCTTCACTGGGTTCCCCTGGGCTTTCATTCACATATGCAATTCTAATGATCTGTAAGAACTGCATCTATTACATTTTTATAACCGGAGCCATGACTGAGGCATACTGATTGAATTTCTTCCCTTCTCAGCAGATTACAAAGATTATTAGTTTGTTGGAATTATATTAAGGGAGGTTAGAAACAGCTTTCTTCAGTCAGTCAGAACACAAATCTAATCTTAAACTTTCAGCATTAAAAAAATCTGCTCTGTAATCATCCAAATAAGAAACCCAGTGGTGTGGACACTTAGCTCTGTTGTCAACTTGGACCTACTTTTTCATGGTCCTTTGTAACACATCAAAAAACAGTAATGTACATCAAAAAGCAGTAAATAGTATTGAAAATTCCAAATCTTAATTCTGGTTTTTAAATTCTTATTTTGGGTGCATGGAGATGAAACCTCTCCTCAAACAAAGAGAGGATCCAACTTTCAGGTATCTGCAGCCCTCATGCTAGACTGGCATCCTGGGAAACCGAACAAGGAAGGATGCAGTTAGTTATTTCAAGGGCAGAAAGTGATTTTGTTTATCATCCCTAGATGAACATTGAGTGAAATGGGCTCTCTGAGATGAGATAGGACAGGGAGAACAAAGCTGAGGTAGCAGACAACTTGAGCAGCATTAAAGCACAGCTGCACTGCTGAGAGCCTGGGTTCTGACTCACCACTCCTGCCTTGTGAATGAACGGGCTTGTGAGCATACTGTGATAATGCTTGCCAACTTGGGAACTTAAACTGAGAAAAAAAAAAAAAACCCAGAGAGAAACTCTTCGGAAAAAATTTATAAAAGCCTGTGTTTTGATCCCACTGCACTGATGAAAAATGACAGTAATGAGAGCAACTAGTACTGAAAGAAAAAGAGATTGTGTAGTAAAGGAATTAATGCAGATCGGAGCCACAGAATTATTAATCATCTTTTTAAAGATATCTGTATTTAAACCATGAAGCACAATTTGCAGTACTAAAAGGGAAGATTTGTTTTTTCTGTGTGTGGCACTATTGACTGAATCCCTACATGCCATCTGCAGTCTTTGAGAACAGGTCCAAAAGGACAGAAAAAACATGATTTGCTAGCCAGTGGATTAAACCAGCTGTATAGATAATTTAATCAGTTGTCTTGAAAATGTATAATGATGAAGCACACTCCATTTCATGCTCGCATGGACACAAATACAATGCAGCACTGCCAAGTACATGTAACCAAGTACATAAGCTATGTTTATGTTTAGTGTGATGCATATATACATGCACCATTTGTCACAGCTCTCATAAATAATGCACTAGCCTAGCACTTCTTTAAGTCAGAGTAACAAAAAGTGTATCTCAAAATCAGGGAAGATAATTTTTAGTGAGGAATTCCAGGCCCAGTTGAAAGAGTAGGCATTTGAAAAGAGAGAGAATAAACAGAAAACTGCAAGAAAGAGGGGGAGGAGATTGGCAGAGAAAGCTCAGAAGAAATCAGGGGTCTGCTTGGGTCAGGAGAAGATATTGCAGACAACTTTCTGGGCAAGAAGCCCCAAGAGAATGGAGACTAAACAGGAAGTAGAGGAGATGGAGATGGCTGTGGGCTCTAGGTGAACAAGAACCTCTGTACATGCCTGCATATGGGAATATACAGGGGGAGGCAACATACTGAGGGGGGAAAAGTAAGGCAAGAACAATTTTAAGCTAACAAACGGTATGAACTGAGGACAGGTGGGCATGAATTTCCAAAACATGGTTTCTAATCAGAAGCTTTCTCTAATCAGAGATGCAAAGAAACATTGAATGATTTGGATTGGAAGGGACTCTAAAGATCATCTAGTTCCAACCACCCTGCCATGGGCAGGGACACCTTCCCCTAAACCCTCCTATTATCAGCTTTATCAGCTTCATCTTTAATCTGCAAATGCAAAAGCCTGGAGCACAGCAGATGACTGAGGATGTCCCTATGCAGTGCAGCTATTGATGCACACCTGCTGCTGCTCTCCAGGAAACATGAAATTTCATTTGCAACCACATTTAAATATCATTTGCAACCACACTGTAAATATAACTGTTATCGATGAAACACTACATGATGGTATCAGAACTGTTAAATTTACCATCTTCATTGTGCATATAAAGATGTTGGCTCAGTTGCACTTGCCAGCCTTTATACATTGAGGAGCAGAATTGGACACATTGTGAAAGGCAGTCTTAAATGCCTCTCACTGAATGAAGATGATGATGAGATATTGCATTAAAGATGATGAGTGTAGGTTGCTGATGGGGTGAAATGCTGAAATAGTGCTGTAAAAGACAAAATTTAAGATATGAGAATATAATATTACAATATTGCTCTGAGCAACCTGACCTGACTTCAGTGTTGACCCAGCTTTGAGCAGTAGAGGACTAGGGACCATCCAAGATCTCTTCCCTCCTGAATGGTTCTGTGCTTAACTCTACAGCCATTCAGACTGCAGTGTGGCTACAGACACACAAACACACTTCTGGATCCCGTCTGGTGGCAAAACACAAGGTGTATGTTAGCATTCCTCCTCTTCATCCTCCACCCTGGAAGCAGCCTGAGTACATGAGCCAGAAGGGAAGTGCACTGTCTACTTCAGCTGGCTGCACCCCCTGCAGTGCCAGCTCCTTGACTCTTATGATTAAAATGAGTGGTGACACCAAGTTACACAGACTTGTCAGTGCTTATCACTTCTTCTCACTCTCCAGTTGCCTCTGTTTGAACTCTCTACCCCTCTGCTGGCTCCATTAACAGAAAGCAACTAGTGACTAGTAGCTATTCCAGAAGCCACTCATAAAGTCAAAACCATCCTCATAGGGACTCATAAATCACCTTCCATTTAGGCCTACAGGCACCATGTTTCTTCCCACAGATTAGCAAACAACATCTCTGTCAAGTACACCCATTATTTGCAAATAAAATGGTAATGGCTGCATACCTACTCCATCAGAGCTGCTCTTTCTAGTTCCATTGTGATAAGAACTAAATAAATACACTAAAGGGAACTCCCTGCCTCAGAGTACAGCTTACCTGGTGAACAAATTAAAAAATGGTGTCCTGCTTTCATCAGCCTCACAGAGGGGATGGCATGTACTACACTATGTGAAAATCTGCATCAACCTATTCCCTATGCCCCTGAATGTAAACTGGAGTTATCCTGTAACTCCTGGAGAAAAATTCCCAAAGTATCAGGGTTTTCTGCTATCATGGAGCTTGAAGTGACCTGGAAATGAACTAAGGTGACTGTGTCCTGCTGCGACACAATGACAGTATTACACTCTTCTTTGTTAAAACACATAAATAACACAAAGAAGTAAAGTGCCCCAAATTCTTTAACGAAAATGAATTTCAGTTCAACAGTAGTTTCAGTTTTCAATTTCAGTCACTCACAGAGAAAACTGCAATGTATATGGAAAAGAACCACTACTACCTATGTACTTAATAAATTGTTTACAATTTGCAGATGATTTTCTATGGCATCATACCACTTTCAGCAAGCTGTTGTTCTAAAATGCTGCTCTTGATTGTCCCATTCTTTGAGCTTTCACACACTTTGTTATAAGACATAAACAACTACAAAAAAGCAATAGACTCCTCAGTTACTGCTTTTTTTCTAGCAATACAAAGTGCCTTCAAGGGTAATGATTTTTCTCATGCCCTTTTTGAATGAAAAATAAAAAAGCTATAAATGATCAAACAACGTCTCCCTATTTTATTACAGCTGGAAAAAAGCACAAAAAAAGGGCATTACCAGGAACTGCAATTTTTGTTCTCTGCCACTGTGTTGAACTAAGATTAAATCAAAATATTAGTAGTTATCATCAAGAGGAGATTTAATAATTAACATATTTTCAGCCATAGTATTACAGTATTTTTAATAACAAAAAAACAAAAAAAAAACCCTAGGCTCTCACTACTGTTTAATTAAAGTCTCTCACCTAAGAGAATTGACTTCACTATGAATTTCTTTACTTTAGCGGGTATCTTGAGTATTTCTTTGTACTTTGTTTGGCATATGAAATTACCAGTGAAATTTAGGTCCCTGCTACTGTTAGTTTAAATTGTCTGATCTTTCAGGATAACTTTAGAAGAGTTTCTACAGTTACAGGGAATTTCTCATATCACCAGTCTTTTGACACATGTAACCTGCTGCTTTTTGTTTCCCAGGGTTGATAATATAATCAGACACCAGACTTACAGTGGACATGACCATCCAGGATGTTTCATACCTAGGTTTCTGCTGAGCCCTGTTAATATGCTGCAGATTTGCTCTGAGTATTCAAAACTACTAACAAAGTACTGGGCTCTGACAAATTAAATAGTGCCTTGGATCAGGAAGGACTACTCAGTCATCTAATGTCCCAGTCTCTTATGTATCTCTCACTGCTCACACCAGTATTTCTACATTAAGCCCAAAGACCTGAATTAAGCCAAAGCATTTCAGTCCTCATGAGACAAGCTTGTGCACCACAGACAGAGAAGAAAGGCCACTATCTGAAGCCCTCCATTAGCAGGGAATTGATGAGACATGCTTGAATGATCTCTACAGTTAATGCTTGTCTGAGAGCCTGATATAAAGTCTCATTTCATAAAGACCTAAAAATCTTTTCCTGCTTCTCTTCCTAGACATGCTTGACTTTACAATTAGCACTCTTGAGCAGAAGTGCTTTTCCCAAAATACAGACTTACATTTATGCAGCACTTCTCATGCATAAAGTGTAACATCCCTACTGCTTTTCCAGGGGAAAAAAAAAATCTTTGACAGAAAATTATCTTTATGAAAAAACGAGCTTTATATTTCTCCTAAAGGATGCCATTTGAAGGAGTGGGCTAGTCAAATGTCAAGAAATGATTCCTGGATCATGACTTGAGCAAACTATTACAATTACCACTGCAGAACAAATTGCTTGTGCTGCCTTCAGAAATTTTATAGTATATATTACTTCTATTTTGGCAGATACTGAGTTAGGAAGACTATGTGAAGATATTTTACTTACTGCATTATCTCCCAAAGCTGTTTTGATACTAATCCGTACTTTGAAAGCATTCTGTGCTTCTGAAACAAAGAGAAGAAAGCAACATATATTGATATTTTGATCACTCAAAATAGGATTTTAAATCATTTACTTCCCTGATTATTTCACAAATTTCATTTTGTGAAATGTGTCTTAAGAAATCACCCACTTAGGAGAACAGAAGTTACTTGCATGAAAAAAAGCCCTACAGAGTCTCAATGAGGTTTACCATGACCTCTTTAAGTGAGACCAACTTCCGTACTTAATTTGCAAACTTAGAAAAAGAACTCATGAAGAATGCTCAGTTCTTCAATCTTCAAATTGAAGACAATAAATGAAAATAAAAATCTTAGAAGCTGGCAGCTTTGTAGTCTAAACTGATAGCTACTTTACCTAAAGAAGGATGGGAATCAGCTCCATATCTTACCTGGCTTGCAGAGCTCAGCATGAGCAATGGCAACTACTGACAGTGTAAACAGCAAAGCACGTAACATCCCGTCAGCATGGAAAGGTTGAGGCAAAAAGAAGTGAGTCTCCCCTGTAAAGCACTCTTAAACTTTGTGTGACCCAGGATTAAAGCATCAGGAGCACAAGTGAGCGACCAAGTAAAAGGTTTAATAATTAACCCCCGTTATTTTAGCTAAAAACAGGCACTAGAAACAACTGTCTTCTGTTAGTTATTTACTACCTTTCTCTGTAGTTTAAAAAAAAAAAAAAAAAAAAGCTGCAATAAGTATTTAATTTTCCTTCTTCCTTTTTAGAAAAATACAACATTTTACAGAGTGTTCCAGGCCAATGTTTTTTTCTCACAGGCATACTGTCAGACACATGAGGTGTCTGTGGGATGTCACACCAGAGCAGCTGGCAACTGTTACCCACAGCAGGCGAATCTGAAGCTTGGCTGTCACTAGATCCCAAAGGAAGCTGCCACCTGTCTTCCATGGGAAACCGTCTTGCCCCAGTGAGGGTCCTTGAGGACGGAGGAAGACTGGGGACCCTTTTCACCTTGCCAGAAGAAATGTGTGATGAATACAGAAATCCTGGACCCAAAAAAACAGGACTCAGGCATTGCCCCTCACTTGCCTTTGAACTCACAGCACTTGGGAAGGGCCAGCCTGATGGACAGCGCCGTGTCCCCCCATACCCACCTCAGCCCCACTCCTGTGTCTTGGCTCAAGCCCAACAGAGCAAATGCCTCGTTCTACACAAAAACACCCCACACCTGAGACACTGCTTTGCATGAAAATAACTGTTATAGGAAGGGAGAAACACTTTCTTCCTGTCAGAGGCTTGTTAAGGTAGCAACTAGAATAAGCAGAGACGCAATAAACGACTTAGTAACTAAGCATGTTGAAAAGGAACATATTCTTGTTTTGTAGACATGACCACTGTGTATACGTGTACAAACACATGTGGAAATATTTTAATGCACGCTGCACTATTAATCAAATGTTTACCAAGACAAATAAATAAATGTGGAGGAAAAACAATTCAGAAACTGGAATGTGTTGCAGGTATTTGAACAGTCTCTGCAATCTAGGCAGCAAGACAGGATTAGTTTATTTCATTCTGTTGCTGTACTCCCCCTGTAGCCATTCTGATTAATGGTTAGTTCCTACCTTAAAGATCGCTTCAGAATTACTTTCAGTTGGTCCTTTAGCACCATGAAGTGTCTTCAGACTGCAGACCCAAAGAGCTTCATGCAAATGGCAATGCAATGAGAAAATCTGATTTAACTGTGGGGCTGAATTTATGGAAAACAATAACCAATAATTACTGCATTAGATACTCGGACTTTTGGGTAACAGAGAACTTGCTCATTCCCAGGCACCTCTATACTCTCACTAGGCAACCCAGTCTGGGTACAAAACTATTGGATACGTTATCTGCTTAGATATTCAATCTGTGCCTATGAAAACAAAAAAGTGATGCATTCATTTCTAATGACAGCTTAAATGAACATGCTGTATATATGCACATCAAAAGGAGCACACTGAAAAATGTACAGACGTATGAAGGACTATTAGGTTTCTGTAGCATTTATAACTTAAAAAAAATCTTAAAAGAATGTGAATGCAGTCAGTTTCATGGTAAATTCATGTGTATTGCTTCAATAGAAAACATGTGAACTTTTTTGTACCTTTCAGGTAAACACTGAAGAACTTGGGAAGAGAGAAAAGCCAAGCACCCTTTCCCTGATGGCAGAAGGCAAATGGAACTGAGTGTGATACACAGGATCACCACTTCTCCCTGCTGTAAAACACCACAAATCAGTTCCTCCCCTCAGAATTGCACAGGGTCTGTGACAAAGTACAGCAAAGGCACACGACACCCAGCAGGAACAAACTCAGAGGACATGACTGGATTCCCTGATCAGAGCTGCTGAATTCCAGCCAGGATGGCTGATTTTCCCCAATCTGTCTTGCTGGCAAGAAGCAAGACAAATTATTTTTTCCTGCAGAGAGGGGAGGAGGCCAAGAGAAGCAGCAGTGTGATAAACACCCCAGCTCAGAGCTCACAGGGAGAGCATCGTGCAGTTGATACATACGTGCACAGCAACGTGGATGTGTGCCAAATGCATCCAGCTGAAGGCCTATGTGCGTATCCAGCTGTACATGCACAGGGTGCTACACATAAGCAACCAATTGCTACACATCTATAAACATTTGCCCAAAGCCAGCACATTTTTTAAATAAGCCAGGTGGACACGCAAGACTACACCAGGTGTTAGTAGGAAGATAACTTTGCTTCACATTAATGGTATTTTTAAATGCTGTCTTAAAAAGCACTGCAACTTATCAGTTTACAAATGGAGTATACTTGTATAATCTAAAAAGACAGACAGACATTCTGCCACTTCATATCTTTGTAATAAACCTACATGTGTGGATAGCCTTTTGCCCAGCCTCTCTGCTCTCATTTTGGCCGGATATACAGCACTGTTTATTAAACATGTCTGCATTTGTTTGCCACTGATTAATCAGTCAGGTATCAGTTTGCTTGAATAAATTACAATCTTCATGCACATATGCAAGGTATGTTTTTACCTGATTACTTTGTGAGGTGTTAGATTTCTGAGTAGTTCCTGTTTTATAGTATCTTTGTTTTTCCTAACTACTGTGGACCTACAAGACATAGCCATGAAGAATTTCATGCACGAGCAGCAGTCCAGAAATATCACTGAACTAGTGCAAAGAAATATTTATCTTATTGTACCAAATGAATTTGTCTGCCTACTTGAAAATAAGAGTATCTCTGTAGTTTTTTCAGTGCTTTTGATCTACAGAAGTTCATGTATGATCTGTATGTATGTATTTAAAAATACATCAAAATTTGGACTACCAAACAAATCAGAAGAGGACTGAAATTTCAAGAAAGCATATGCTTGGTAAAACAAACCAATCCCCTCCATCTTCTCCATGTGATTAGCAATGTACTTTTTCTGCTCCTTTCAATGTCTTTGAAATGGAAAATCCCAGGTAAGTAAAATATTGATAGCTATTGTGTAAGTTAATTAACAGCTATGGCTAAACTTAACCTCAGTTTTCAAATTTAACAAATTAACAGTTTTAAACTCTGAGGAAGTTAATCTTTAGTCTCAAATAGTTGTGTCCAACTCTTACGAGGAAAGAGTCAATGTGTGACTGTCAGCACTAGTCACTCATGGAAATGTACCTGGCAAACTGCAGACCCGAGCTGCAGTTGTGCACAGAGCTCTGCAGTTCCCTGCATGCAGTGGAAACGACAAACACTGCATGTCTTTTCCTGTAGATGTCGGGGAACAGGGTGTTGAATGAGGACTGCCACCACAATCATCACTGTAACAGTACAGAAATGACATGGTTGTCACCAAGTTTTATCAGTGCTCATAGAAGCAGACAGTGTGTGAGAAATCATTTAGCTCTCCAGACAGTTGTGCAGGTGGGGGAAGGATGCACTCACCAGCATTCCCATATAGCGCCTCGGAAAGGGCACTTTGCAGTGGACAGCACCAAGGACAGCCCACGGCAGGGCTGGCACTGAGAGAGAGCAAACAGACACCTCCAGCATGGGACAGGGCAGGAGGATGGTACTGCTGCCAACACTTCATCGTCACATTTATTATATAAACAACACGCCAAGAAGCATCAATAAAAACTGACCCATCCCAAACACACTTCCTGGATGTCTCCTACTTAGCACGTATTTTCTGGGTCCAGCAAACCCATGCTAGTGATTTGACTGCCATTTCCTCATGTTCTCTTATTTCTGTTTGCATTATCCAGGGCAAAAAAAAAAAAAGAAGAAAAAAAAAAAGAAAAAAGAGATTTATAATTCCATGAGGAAAGGCACCACTCTTCTCCTGGATCATAGGCCAATATTATAGTGAAGACAACTTTTACATAATCTGTATGCTTATCAAATGTATTTTTCTTTTTTCCACAGAGGGCTTGGCATACAACAGAGAGTGAACCCTTCTTATCTACTTATGTCAGTCTACAGTGGCAGAAAATACAAGAAATGGAAACCAGAAGAGCCACAGGGAAAGGAAGTTGAAATGTGTGCCAGAGTCACTGCACTTCAACATGGAGCTGCTCTACTGTGCATGCCCAGTCTGTGCATACACCTTGAAGGACACACAGAGATTTAGAGCACAACATGGTACATGCATGGTAGTTGCTCCATGGTACTTAACTACAAGTTGTAAGATAAAAGTAAAGTAAAGTAAGTAAAAAAAGTAAGATAAAAGAGCTATTCCATACAGTACAATCTGTGCATCCAGTATTGACCTTCTCATTGACATTCTCATAATGGGGTTCACGTGGTATTGGACCATAAAGGAGTATTTTTCTTTAGAAAATATGGAAGAATGAATTCCACAACCTGAAGGCTGCCACATAAATAAACTATGCTTGTGAAGGCCTGTGGTCTATTATTCCAGTGTAAGGAATAACAGCTACTGACTGGAATACAGTATAACTTTGGATATGTGAATGGCTCTTGCCTGGAATTGCCACATCTCTTTCTTTCTGACACTGTATCAATTAAATTGCATGGAAGTCTGCACCTGGGCTTAAAGATCAAGATTATATGTATAATATGTATAAATTAATAAAAAACAAACAAAATTGAGAAAAATGCAACTTTCATTCTTGTTTTGAAGAGAATGACAGCTTTTTCCAGAATCACTATGGATATCTGTAATAGCTGTTTTGTGTTTTCTTACAATGAGACTCTACTTTTAATTGCTGAAATACGTAAGCTTAAGACGGTGCCTTCCCCAAGAACACCGGAAAAATGCCATGATGAAATGTAGCATACCAAAGGAAGAAATTATAGAATTTTTCAGTTTAGACTCATAAATAGCTTAAAGGGAGGTTAATATTATGGCAGTTCCTCTGTTGATGGAAAGATGAAAGTTATAATTTCCTAATGAAATAAGATTATGAAACATATTTTGTTGGTTTTTTTCCAAAACTTTCATGGGCGTCAATGGTTCATCATCAGTGGTGTGTTAAATGCACAATACTGCCATCTTCTGTATCCAAGAAACAGCAAATTATGTTATTTGACATGTATGTTCTGCACAAGGAACAGTGCAAGTACTACTGATGACAACTCCTTCGTTTTAAGAGCGTCTTGGATCTGGCACATGGTTCAGTAACAACAGAGAGGTCATGGTCTGAATACTCATTGGTCAAGTGGCAAATGTAGCT